TGAAACAGAATGAAAAGACTCCTTGGTTCTTCAGAAATGAAATCAAGAAGTTTAAAAGCCTCTCCAAGGACATGCAGCTGTAAATTCAGTGGACTCCAAGATCGGACAAACAGTCTAGCAGATCAGTTAGCAAAACAAGGGGTTAACAGGGAACATTGTTTTTGGCCTCAGCTATAAGGTTGAAAAGTTAAAAAGCTTAGTTTGGCAAGGTTTAAGTCCTAGTGGGRTAGCCAAGGCTACTCATAATCTGTATTTGTTTCCTCTTACTATTTTAATAAATATTTTCGTTACTGATAAAAAAACACTAAAAATTGAGGTATCTGACACAATATGGTTCCCTTGTACAAGTATCTAGGTACCATAGGTGCACAAGCACCAATAGAAGGTATTAAGAAGTCAATAGGGCATTCAGAGGTGTAAAACTAAAAAGAATTGTATAAAGAGTAACAAAAAAACTGTAACATAGAGAAGGCACATGCCTGGGATGAGGTGCAAAGCATACCAGGCACACACCTTCTACAGGGAGCATTGCCTGGGTTCAAGCAAGGAGCACATCTTAAAATTTGCTTTGGTTGTGCACCAAGGCACACCTTTTGAAACAATGCTTTATACCGTTTGTTTTTACTTTTAACAAGATTTAGTTATTTACCAAAAGAGAGCTACTTAGTTAGTGCACCTCCCTCAAGAGTAGTTAAGTTAAAATAGTAACTACACATGCTGAATATAACTAAAATTGCCCAGTATGTAAAAAGATTGAATCATGTAACAGTAAGACTTTACAATGGTCTAAAACCCACTTCCTAACCTCTACAGCAATTTCTTTTAGAAATACGAAAAATTCAGAACCTTGTAACCATAATAAGTGATCATGCAATTTCCTCAAACTTGGGTTTATTTGATAATTGTTATGAAATACAAATTGTAGATTACATCATCATTCTCCATGTAATAAAGAAACAAAGGGGCCCTGGAATTTTCCTTTAACTTCATGAATAGGAAAGGATAGAAAACTTACGTGTCAGTGATGAAAAGACTAACAAGGTTTGGTGGCACGTAATCAAATGCAGGATTGACAACATGGAGAAGAGGAGCACCATTGCCACTTGAAAAGTTCATGCAATCAGAGAACTCCCCAAAGTCCAATAGCTCAGATGGGGATTTCAGATCATTCAAGAGAACTTCAGGATTGTGTGGATACAAGGGGCACAACTGTCAACCAAAGTACCAAATTAAAAATCAGGATCAAGGTTTCAAGGCAATATTTTATATCACTAAAAGCAAGACAATGCTCACAGGAAAAACTTCCACAGGAAAACAGGAACAATGAACTGAAAGTGGTAATGCATATTTTTGTTTATTTATTTATATAATTTCATTWTGAGATATAAACCGGAATTATAACAAAGATGATAAATGTAAGAATTTATGATGCCCAGGTAACAAGGGTGTTGTAGCATGTTGGATACTTTCAGTTTTTAGTGTAAAATCTATGTCCAACACCTTGTCTAGTGGCTAAAAGAAGACATGCAACTAAGAAAACCAGCTAATCCTACCCACTAATCCACAACTCTGCTAAAAACAGGACAAATTTTCAAT